GGGAAAATTTGTTTTCGTGCGTCACGTTTCGTCTTTTTAGGAAATGTTGAATAAGATTTACCGGCCTGAATGTCCGAGAAATTTTCATAGAAAATATTCGTCCTTTGACCGGATTCGAACCTGTATTCTATACGGAACCGTCATTTACGCTGACGTGCTTTAACCGACTCGGCCACAAAGGAGCGTTCGGTAGGCAAGGTCGAATTTATTGCTTTTAAACTTCAATCTTCCATGAATTTCGTACATTCATAACTGAAGTTTATAAGCAGTAAATTCGACCTTGCCTACCGAACGCTTCTTTGTGTCCGAGTCGGTTAAGGCACGTCAGCGTAAATGACGGTTCCGTATAGGATACAGGTTCGAATCCTGTCAAAGGACCAATATTTTATATAAAAATTTCTCAGACATTCAGGCCGGTAAATGTTATTTAATACTGTTTATTATAAACAGATCATTTACTTAAATACTTGTATCTATAAAAAGAACGTTAAACATAAAATGTCTTTAATAAATATATATATATATATATATGTATATATATGTATATATATGCATATATATATATATATGTATGTATATATATATATATATATATATGTATATATATATATATATATGTATATATATATATATATATATATATGTATGTATATATATATATATATATATATATATATGTATATATATATGTGTATATATATATGTATATATATATATGTATATATATATATATGTATGTATATATGTATATATATATATATATATATATATATATATATATATATATATATATATATATATATATATATATATATATATATATATATATATATATATATATATATATATATATATGTATATATATATATATATATATATATATATATATATATGTATATATATATGTATATATATATGTATGTATATATATATATATATATATATATATATATATATATATATATATATGTATATATATATATATATATATATATATATATATATATATATATATATATATAGTTTATAGTCTAAATGTAAATATTTTATCGACTTTTATACTTGAGCGTATAGGCTGGGTTGTGTGGATTTCACAACATATCAGCACATGGGTTATTTAATTTCGAAATTATACTAGTCTAGAAGTAAACATGGGTCGGGTTTATATTTGAGTCTAAATGTAAATATTTTATCGGGTGGGGGGGTTTATACTTGAGCCTATAGGCTTGGTTCTGTGTATTTTATGCATAACAATACTTTCTGGGTTATTAACATTGCGAAATTATATTTGAGTGTATAGGTAAACATTGGCAATGATTATATTTAAGTGTGTAGGTAAATATTTGGTGAGTTTATACTTGAGTCAATATGTAAATTTAAGGTCGGGTGTTACACTTGAGTGTATAGAGTTCGGCAGGATTAGCGGAGTTTGCGACATATCAGCCTCTACTGTGTTGTTTAATGTCAAATGATACTTGTGTTTATAAGAAAGCCTGGTTGGGTTTCTAATTGATTCTATAGGTAAACATTGGTAGGATTGGTTCTTTAGCCTGCAAACATGTAGACTGAAGAGAGCCGCTTTGTTTGCTGGTTGTCTTACTTTTCTTCTAGTGATTAAATCTGGGTATTCTGGGGCACTCCGAAAAGGCAGTTGATTCTATGGGTAAACATTGGTCAGGTTTATATTTGAGTCTGCAAGCATCTACCTTAAATGTTGTCCCTTCTGTCGGGTGTCATGCCTCTCTATGGGGTTGCGACTGATGTAATCTAAGACTTGTTTACTAGTTAGTTTAGCTTGTAGCTAAACATTTGTCGTGTTTTTATTTGAGTCTACATGCGTATACCCCAAATTTAGCCTCTTCCTTTAGATGGGTCTTAACTTTCTAGTGTACAGGAATACAGCTGGCATATTCTAGGTCCTTTTTCTATATTTGAATATTGGTCAAGTTTATACAGGATTCTATTTGTATACATTCCAACACGTCTAGTTTGATCGGCGGTTCCATCAAATTGAAAAATAAAAATAAAAAATAATGTAAATCATTGAATCAAAACCGAAATAGTTTTCTTTTTTTTTTTTTTTTTATAGTGGAATACACAGTTTACTTGAAAGCTGAGGTAATTCAAAAAGTACCTGATAAAAACTATTATTTTATATGGAAATAATTCTTGCATCCTTTGCTTTCTTTCTCTCTTTCTTTCTCTCTCTCTTTCTCAGGCACGCGTGCACACATTCATTTTGAAAATAGATCGACATAAAAAAAAAGTTAATCATGTAATTATGAAGGTATATGTTATCAGATAGAGGAAATGCTCGAACAGGCTGGTAGTCTTCCGGGCTTGACGACCATATAGATTCCCGCGGGTGGCCGGTGGTGCCTGCAGACGAATTTTGCGTTCAACTGGTACCGACTCAGCAGGTTTCACCGTCTCGGAACGGACTCTGCGCCGGGCCGACTGACGTCACTACCATCGACGTTGGTTGGCATCATGTATCGAGTGACCGTAAATCTCATCAGATCTCCAGCACCTCTCTTGGGTTTCCTCTCGACCTAAACACTGCCGTGATCTGGGAATTCTAATCTGTTTCTCCAAGATCCCATCTTCTCTCTCTCTCTCTTTCTCTCTTTCTCTCTCTCTCTCTCACACACACACACACACACACACACACACACACACACATATTTTGAAGATAAATCCAGCAAAACGTGTTGAGGCTCAGAACGAGAAATCGTCGAACCGAGTTCGAATACCGGTTTCGGTCGTTGCATTCACTTTCGCACTAATATCCTTGGGAAAGGTGATATGTCCCGGAAAGGGATATATTTGATCGAAATAGCTCAGTGGTTTTGGTTACTATAACCAAGAAGTACACGGTAGCAATAATCGACTGGTACTCGTCGTACTCGCAGGTAATAGGTGTAGACCAATAGAATAGCCAATGGCGTAGTCCAATGGGCGTCGTCATAGACTTAGACTCTGTCGTACCTACACGTCCGTCTGTATTTATGACGGACACCAGCCAATCATATTCCAGTGAGGGGGGAACACAGGTGTATGCATATTCCATTATATCAAAAGGTATGACGCCATCATTTATCCCCCAGTTATGTGTTAAATTTCAGAACTAACTGGACCCTCTTGCTGTGGTTATCAGCCAATGTAGGAGAAGAAAAACTGAATTCAAAAACATATGGTGTCCCTGGTGGGGCGCATGAGTAAACTGCAACCAAAGTCCGCTTATCATAGTTGCAGTATAAACCACAGTAGTCCTGGGTATGACGATAAACTACATCCGGTAGCAAAGCTTCTGATCGAGAGGTTTTGAGGATCGTGTAACCACCTCTTAATTGCTGTTATTCACAGGTCCAACCTGACCCTGGGTTGGTAGTACCTGTTACGGTTCCAGCTATGGGCAATCAGTGAGTTCCCAAACAAAAAAAAAAAGCACCATGAAAGTATAAAAATACATTTTTATAGTAAAAATACCATCAATACATTTTTACAGTAAAAAATACCTCAATACATTTTTATAGTAAAAAATACCATCAATACATTTTTATAGTAAAAAATACCTCAATACTTTTTTATAGCAAAAATACTTCAATACATTTTTATAGTAAAAAATACCATCAATACATTTTTATAGTAAAAAATACCTCAATACATTTTTATAGTAAAAAATACCTCAATACATTTTTATAGTAAAAAATACCATCAAAAGATTTTCATATAAAAAAAATACCAAGAGTACCTATTTATAGAAAATTACCAACAATATAATTTTAAAACAAAATGACTAGTAATACATTTTACGGTAGAATTACGAACAATACATTTTATAGCAAAATGATCAACAATATATTTTATCTGTAGTTGAAGGCATACAATTACGTTCAAAATATATTTAGTTGAATCCATAAAATTGTCTTCAAAATATGTAGATTTCGGCATTAAATAACCCATAGATGTTGATATGTTGCTAAACAAAATCAACCAACCAACAAGACATATTTATAGTAAAATTACTAACAATACATTTTATAGCAAAATGACCAACAATACATCTCCCTGCAGTTGAAGATATATAATTATGTTCAAATTATATTTAGTTGAAGCCATAAAATTGTGTTAAAAATATTTAAATTTCGGCATTAAATAACCCATATAGGTGTTGATATGCCGCTAAACAAAATTAACCAACATATAAACCACAGGGTACTTCAATCGGGTATAATGGTTAGCAAGCTTGTCACGCTAGATTAGTTACGACTGAGAAGTGAGTTTGATCCTCACTAGGTGATCCGTACTTTCGGCCTTGTGCCACAACGAACGCTTAGTAAATCGCTATAAGCCACAGGTTGAGTGTGAAGGTGAAACACGAATAGTCATGAGCAGAGGAGCATGCTTAGAAACTAACAGCCATGCTGGAAGATAAGAAATCATACCGAGTTACATTGTGCCTTCATGAAGAAACAGTTTTAATGCATCGTTTGTACGAAAACCTGCTTAAAAGCTTTACAACATCGGACCAAACGCCAGACTTTTTTTTAGCGTGAAGGGGTTCTAAGTCGGGTTGAGAAATTTTCAGCAAATGCTATACTATTTGGATTTTGTGATATATCTATCACTACTGTGTTATTTAATATCAAATTCTACTTATGTCTCTAAGAAATACTGGTTGGGTTTCTAACTGACTCTATAGGTAAACATTGGTAGGGTTTGTTTTTAAACCTGCTAGCATCTACTCTGATGAGAACCGCTTTGTTTGCTGGGTTTCTTCCCTTCGAGTGATGAAATCTGGCTATTCTGGGTCACCCCGAAAAGGCAGTTGAGTCTATTGGTCAGGTTTATATTTGGGTCTGGAAGCATCTACCCCAACGGTGGTTCCTTTTGTCGGGTGTCTTTCCACACAATGGATTTGCGACTGACGTAATCTAAGACTCGTTGATAAGTTGGTTTAGTTTATAGCTAATAGCATTCTAATCTATTTACCCAAGATCCCACTTTTCACCCTTTCTCTCTCACTATTGTTATCTATCTATCTATCTATCTATCTGTTATAGTACCTATTCTATTGTAATGGACTCTCCCACAGATAATAAGTAGTAGTAGCAGACTCAGTGGTGTTGAGCGAGTCAGACGATATCGGACATTGAAGTACCAACCATCACAATTAGATTGCTGCGTCATTAACTATTATTTTCAAGTTCCTAATGTTTTGTATGTCGAACCTAATTTAGGGCGACTTATTGAAATACAAGCCTCCATTGTGAAAACTACTCCACAACACTATCTATCTAATTCTGCATATCTATCTATCTATCTATCTATCTATCTATCTATCTATCTATCTATCTCATTCTGCATATTATCTATCTATCTATCTATCTATCTATCTCATTCTGCATATTATCTATCTATCTATCTATGTTATCTCTCTCTCTCTCTCTCTCACACACACACACACACACACACACACACATTTTGGCGATAAATCCAGCAAAATGTGTTAAGGCTCAAAACGAGATTTAATGTCAAATCATACTTGTGTCTATAAGAAAGACTTGGGTCTGTACTTGTGTCTATATACTGTTTGCCTTCAAGAAGAAACAATTCTGATGATAACAATGTACCATTTATACGAAAACCTATACGGACTAAACACCAGATTTTTTGGTATAAAGGGCTTCTGAATCGGATTGAGAAATTTTCAGCACGCCATAAGTTAATCATTCCGATAATTAAAAAAAAAAATTAAAGTTGAACCCAAGCAACTAATTACATTTCTGTTTTCATCGTTTTGACTAAGGAATCCAGATTTGTACGATTGCCAAAATATTTCGGGTTTTCAAAAGTACATATGAGGAAGGTGTAGAAGAATCGGTAAAACTGGTGGGAAATTTGGCACATTCCCCGAGTATTTTTCCTTCATATCCTATGGAAAGAAGAAATTGTCTTGTGGGGGCTCGTAAAATTACGAACTAAACCGGCTTGTCTGATACATAATTCAAAAGGAAGGTACTTTATGATAAACTGATTTTAAAGAGAAATATATATATATATATATATATATATATATATAGAGAGAGAGAGAGAGAGAGAGAGAATTTGGGGACTATTATTGCAGAACAAAAGCAATCTAATATGTGTGCATTTGATCAGATTTTGGGAATTGTGTTGAACCGTGAAGTTTTACCAACTTCTATCTATCTATCTATCTATCTATCTATCTATCTATCTATCTCATTCTGCATATCTATCTATCTATCTATCTATCTATCTATCTATCTATCTATCTATCTATCTATCTATCTATTTATCTCATTCTGCATATTATCTATCTATCTATCTATCTATCTATCTATCTATCTCTATCTATCTATCTATGTAGCAGAACAAGCAATCTTGCAGTGAAGTCATGTCGCACATCTGTGCTCTTGCCAGAAAGCAAACGATCATTTGAAAATATCACGGATTAAAACTAGTTCTTCTTCTTCTTCTTAGTAGTAGTATTCTTATTATTATTTGTATTCTTCTTCTTCTTCTTCTTATTATTATTATTATTATTATTATTTCCTTTTGATTTCTGGTCTGTACTAAAGTCAGAAATGGCATCATGACATTTTCCACTGAGCATTTTTGAAAAAAAAAATCCCACATGTTTAACATACAGTGGGGAGGAAACAAATATTCGTACACAGAGAAATTTTTAATTTATTGTATTTTCAACTAATGAATAAACATACTTTTCACATAATTAACTGTACACAGATGTATAATAACTAAATATGCATAGAAAACAGAAAAAAAAAGTTTTGATTTAATAGAAATAAATCTCATGTATCCATTTTAATGGGTGAAAAAACCCTAATCCTTCTTTACTTACCCCCACTGTAACTAAAGCCCGTCGTAAGGTTTTGGTTGTACTTGTGAGATGATTTTTTTTCTTTAAGGCATGGGCTGCCAGGGATTCCTTCAATGAGACTATTGGAATCTTTTCCAATCAATTCGAGAGCTCCAACTACAATTGGTATTGTTGATGTCCACATGTGCTCCAGTTTTGAGATTTCAAGGTCCTTGTATTTTGATTGTTTTTTTTTGAAGATCTTTAAAGATAAATTGGAGTTTTCAGGTACTACCATGTCAATAAGAAGGCGCATTTTTTTTTTTTTGGTCTCTAATCACGATGTATGGTCGATTAGCTTTAATTGTTCTGTCTGTTTCTATTGAAAAGTCTGATAAAATTGTTAAAGGTCCTTATCTCCGTAACCAGCTTTTGGTGGTGTTCATGCCAATTTCTTGCAGTTTACTTTCCGTAAATGTTGAAGATTTTCCAGTGCAGATATTGGTCCACTCTGTCATGCCAGGTTTTATATTCAGTGACTGCCAATATCGCGTAACTTGATACAAGACGGTCAATTGTTTGTGGATATTTATCACAGAATCTGCATTTTGGGCTAACACAATTTTTCAGTCTGTGTGCTTGGTAATTTCTAATTTGCAAGTATTGGTTCTGAGCAGCAAGAATAAAACATTTGGTTTCAGCTTTTAACCCTACACTACGTAGCCACTGATGGGTACGGATTTTGTCTACGTCAGCTTGTTTGGTACGGGCAGAGTATTGACCGTGAAGAGGTTTATCTTGCCATTGTTTCTGTATCTGATCGGTTGCATTTGCGTTTGCTTTCTTTTTTTTAAAGTATTTTGCAGCTGCACTCTGTGTATTATGTTTTACTTGTATTTCTTCACCTCCCTCCTTGAAACTCCATTTTTGAATTTGTTGTTATTACTAAATAAAGTCGTTTACTACTTTCATGGTCTTTGACAAAGGTCATCATCCAGTCTTCTGTAATTTCTAGGTATCTTTGAAGGCCAATTGTTGTAGTTTTGTAAGACTGATGGAGTTGAATTAATCCTCTGCGTCCTTCGGATTTGGGCACATACAAACGATCAACAACGGCCTTGGGATGATGCATGCTGTGGCAGGTGAGAATATCATCTATGGTCCAATTAAGAATGTTGAAACTGTTTTGCACCACTTGGACAGCCAAAGTGTTTATGACTGATATTCTGAATTAAGCTCGTTATTCAGAACCAGGCGCACACGTCTATAGTACTCCTTTCTTACTCTCTCCTTCATTTGGGCATGCTGTATTCATTCTTGCGAAAATTCCTATTATTATTATTATTATTATTTACTTTCTGATGCGTACATATTTCTTACCGGTCCCGCCCAGGGATCTAAGGAGAGAAATGGCATAAGGATATTTTCCGCTGACCAATTGGTCCTGTGCAGCAACTCTTAACTTTTAACCCAGAACTACGTAGCCACTGATGGATACGGGTTTTGTCTCCATTAACTTGTTTGGCACGGGTAGAGTATTGACCGTGAAGCGGTTTAACTTATTATGATTATTATACACCTATTTTCATCTTGATTCTTAAGGTTTTAGCGTTTTGGTCTTTGTACTCTCAGGCCTCTTTCCGGTGTTTGTCGGGTAATTTCGAACCGAACCTTAAAATCCATGGGTATACATTGTTCATTCTTCTGTTCATTGTCCTCACAGTTAATTATTTCTAGTTCTTGTGACGCCGATTTTTACTTTCACCGTACCAGAGTATATGACTCTCTTGTCCGACCCGACCCGAGGATATAACTCACAGCAAATAAATCCGATTAACGAAGCATTTTATCCATCAGAACTCATGAGATGAATAGAGGATTCGTTTTAAAATTTCCAGTTTACCAACGACGTTAGATAACTGAAGAAAACTAAAGGGTACAACAGTCGAAACAATAAATGAGGACAATATTTCAAATATATATATATATATATATATATATATATATATATATATATATATATATATATATATATATATATATATATATATATATATATATATATATATATATATATATATATATATATATATATGATAATGATGGGGGCACCCTGAGGCGGTTTAATAGTTAGCAAGCTTGTCTCGCTAGAACAATTACGACTGAGTAGTGAGTTCGATCCTCACTGGGTGCTCCATACTTTCGGCCTTGTGCCACATCTAAGCTACGCTTGGAAAAACACTAGGCATTTCGAGGTGGTGTAATGGTTAGCAAACTTGTCTCGCTAGAACAATAACGACTGAGTAGTGAGTTCGATCCTCACTGGGTGTTCCATACTTTCGGCCTTGTGCCACATCTAAGCTACGCTTGGAAAAACACTAGGCATCTCGAGGTGGTGTAATGGTTAGCAAACTTGTCTCGCTAGAACAATTACGACTGCGTAGTGAGTTCGATCCTCACTGGGTGCTCTATACTTTCGGCCTTGTACCACGTCTAAGCTACGCTTGGAAAATCACTATAATAAGGATGGGTGTGAAGTTTTGGGTAATGGATAACGGCTCGGAATGAGAAATCGTCGATCCGAGTTCGAATTACAGTCGCCTTCGTTACATTCATTTACGTTATGGTTTAGAAAAAATGTTTTTAATTTAATCACCACAAAGAAACTTTTCTCTCAGCCATCAGCATGGCTGATGATAAACTCCAGTAGCAACATTCGACGCCTTCTTAGCCTCACGTTTTCCACCGACATGAAATGGGGCGACTATATCGAATAAACTGTTTCGTCTACTGCAAGGAAAGTTGGTTCGCTGTGTCGTGTCAGAAACTTTTTCTCGTTTTTATTTTGTGCACATTTATAAATTTACCATTCGTCCGTGCATTGAATCAGTCAGTTATGTGCCATGCGTGACACGCGCTTAGGCGATCAGGTATCTTTCGATACATGACTAACGAGGCAGATTTTTTTCTCGCAATAGGTTGCTATTTCTTTATGTGTAGACCAGTTGCCATCCAAGGCTATATAACTCGGTCTGTCCTGCTATTTACCCAGAGCTGGGAGTTAAAGAAGAGGATTCATACCTTTCCAAAGGTTATAAGCACGTAAGTGAATTTCAGTCAATTGCGTGCCATGGGTGACACACGCTTAGGCGATCACGTATCTTTCGATACATGACTGACGAGGCAGATTTTTTTCTCGCAGCAGGTTGCCATTTCTTTCTGCGGTAGACCAGCTGCCATTCAAGCCTATAGAACCCGGCCTGTACTGCTATTTACCCACAGCTTGGAGTAGAAGAAGAGGATTCATACCTTTCCAAAGGTTATAAGCACGTAAGTGAATTTCAGTCAGTTGTGTGCCATGCGTGATACACGCTTAGGCGATTATGTATCTTTCGATACATGACTGACGAGGCAGATTTTTTTTCCCGTGGTACTTTGCCATTTCTTTCTGTGTGCCATCCAAGGTTATATAACTCGGTTTGTCCTGCTATTTACCCATAGATGGGGAGAGAAGGGCATTAGCAAGGGTATTAAGTGAACGTAATGGATTTGACTGGAATTCGAACGCTGCTCTCCGATTCCTCCATCCGAGCCACTATTCATTATTCTACTGTGCATTGAATACTGCTGCCATATCTGGTCTTGTGCCCCTGCTGTATATTTTCAAAGAAGGTGCTCTAAATTCAAAGACGAGTCTGTAATGTAATCGTTCCTGATCAGGCATCTCGATTTCAGTCCTTTTCTCACCGACATGGCGTGACTTTCCATTATATTTTTCTGCAAATATTTTCATAGCGAATGTTTTGATGACCCCCCCCACTCGGCTACATGAATTTAAACATGCTACTAGATTGACAGTTAGGTCTCACCGTTTTACTGTTAAACTGATTAGATGCAACCGTCTCTTCTATTCTAACAATTACTTTTCTCGCATTTCACACCTGTGGATCACCCTTCCAATTTCTTGCTTCCCTGATAACTAAATTCTTCAAAAATGTAAATGCAACGCCAGTCGCCATCTTTAAACCTGTTTCTTTACTGCTCTTTCTTCACCCCTCCTCACAAAAGTCTTCTCATTCTCTTTCACTCCATGTAATTCTCTGCCTCTTAGTGACATTCTTGGGTGAAACGATTAAAATATATAAAGATATACTGGAATACTTGTCTATATTTCTGATATGAGGTATTATGTACACTATTTACATTATTCGGACTATTGTCCTCATCTTTGTCGCCATATTTATTACAACGTTTCGGCTGTTGTACGCTCCGGCTGTTGTACACTCCGACCTTCTTCAGGTGGTTGGAATGTCGAACTAAACCCTTTATTTCGCTCACTGGGGTAGACTGTTCTAGTTTCACGTGCCATGTTTAATGGATGTCAGTTGTCATTTATCTCCTGTTAATTTCCCTCTGAAAGTTCTCTATTACCTTAACCGGGTATTGAACTCACACTCTTTGAATCCTGTCACTGGATCTAACAAACGGCTTTAGCCACTGTGCCATGGTTGCTGAAGACATTAGGTTCATAATACCCAGAAATTCATACACAGATGTCCTCAAGAACACGTGGAACAGTGGATAAAGGCCATAGAGGACAATATTCCGAATAATGTAAATAGTGTATATACTGGAATATTAGGGCGATCACAAGAATCGAACTAATAAGCAATGGTTTTTCGAGACGGTACATTAATTTACTATATTACGAAAACCAACTTAGTCAGGTTCAAGACTATGAAAGTGGTGAACCAATTGAAGATCGACCTTTCGAATGATTGGCCGAATAAAACTTTCCCAACTTAATCACATAGAGTAGATCATTGGAATAAATTTTTAATATTGTAGAAATTATTTTTTTTAGATTTCTAAGTACAAACGAAGCCCACCTACTTATCTTTTTTTTTTACAGTGTGGTTCACCCTGTACAAGTCCCGCGAGCCATTCGAGGTAGAGGGTTACATAGTAAAGGGCACAGGTTATGTGGATATGTGGGGAAGGTAACGGTTAACTCTCAACATGAACGGGTTAAGATTGTAATGATCGGGAAAACATTCTCTTGGGAGTCGGTTCCACAAATCAGTGGTTCGCGGGAAGAAGCTGCTCCAGTGGAAATTACTTCTCACCAATGAAATACGAAGGCAACGGGAGTGGTTTCCTACAATATGCGTAGAATGGTGGATCCTAGTCGTGAAGGGTAGAACTGGTGGAACCAAGAAATGCAGTTTATCCGAGCACATTTCGTGGATGTAGCAATAGAGCAGCGGAAGGTTTCCTACATCCTGTCTGTGAGAGGGGGGTTGCAGGGTGGAAAATTTTGTCACCCACAATAACGCGGATCTATCTATCTATCTATCTATCTATCTATCTATCTATCTATCTATCTATCTATCTATCTTGTCCCTTGTAGTTCTCAAGATATGACAAAAATATTAGACAGGATATTGTATTGTGGTTAGAGGTTTATAGAGTAAGAGACAAAGTTTATGCTGATAGATGAGAAAGATAACGGTTAACCCTAGATTTGAAAAAGTAAAGATTGCAGTGATCGGGAAAATATTCTCTTGGGAGTCGGTTCAACAGAGCATTGGTTCGCGGGAAGAAACTTCTCAATTGGAACTTACTTTTCACCAATGAAATACGGAGAGGATGGGAGTGGTTCGCCACAATGCGCATAGCATGGTGGGGGGTCCTAGCCATTAAAGTAAGGACTGGTGGACCTAAGGAATATAGTTCGTTTGAGCACTTTCTATAGTAGAGCATCTAGAGGCTTGCGACATCTCGCCTCTCAGAAAAAGATTGCTGGGTGGAAAATAATTTGTCGCCCACAATAACGCGGATCTATCTATCTATCTATCTATCTATCTATCTATCTATCTATCTATCTATCTCTATCTTTTGTCCCTTGCAGTTATCAAGATGTGACTGAAATATTAGACAGGTGATTGTACTGAGCTAATCTTTTTAATAGAGATAGTATACGGTCTTGAAAATCAGCATTTGAAATCCTGATTTTTACCTGGTATCGAACCACTGACGTTTGGCACCGCTGGGAATTATGCAGATGTTCCAAGTGGGAAGTATGTTGTTTCTCTTGTGATAATGATGAAAACAAAATAGATGTAATCCGTACCTGAGAAAGTCAGAGGAAGCTACTGGTTAAAACGCCAAGAAGAAGAAGAAGAAGAAGAAGAAGAAGAAGAAGAAGAAGAAAACAATAAAAATGAAGATACTCACAATTAATGATGAAATAACGAAAACAATTCTGACAACATTAACTGGTGACTGAATATAGAATAGGCTGCGCTAGGTGTAGTTTCATCCAACATGACAGTTTTCGCCTTGCTTGGGCTGCATTAATTAAAAGAAAAATACGGATCATATAAGAAAGCAGTAGCAAAGATAAGCATCTTCCTCCTCAACTTTTAAGTGATGCATCCTTTTATGACATGGGCAATCGTGGCTCTCCACGAATTCCTTAGCAACGTTTGTCCCCTTAATATCTTTCCCACTCCCAGCTCTGCCATCTATCTGCACAAGCTGTTTAGTTAGCTTATTTGCTGCTTCCCTCTGCCTCTTTTGCCTTCAGTCTGCCTTTTGAGTGTTAAATTCTCCACGTGCTCTTTCCTCATTATAATTCGTAGAAATTCTACCTGCCTCATTTTGATTCTAAGACTCTTAGTATAAGAGATAAGGAAAGTGAACATAGAATCGGCCACGATAGAGATAGTTTCGCCCAACACCGCCAATTGCTACAAAACCAAAACATTAACCTAAAAGCTCAAATCCTGTTCTTAAATAGCCTCGTCAGATCTAGACTTTCCTATGGTTGTCATACGTGCCGCCAAACCTGTTCAGAAATATCTAAACTGTCAGCCGTATACAAAAGGTTTCTCAGATCAATGGTTAAAAATGGTTTTGATAAGGGAAGCCTGTGGGTCTTGGCAAAGACCGCACTTCTTCGAACCTTGTGAATTGGCGCTACATAATCACAAACAACTGTACTAGATAACAGAAATCACATCACTTGAGAACTTTCAATTAGCAGCAACAACTGAAATGGATATCATATCAACTCGAAAAGAAAACAAAGACATAATCAAGAGGTTGACTTTCCACACTACTCCAAACAAAAGGTTAGGAAGGAAACATCAGTCAATGCCGGAACAACTACTATTCTTGAGAAATCTGTTTTCCTGAAAAATTGTTTGAAGAGAAAGATTTTATAAATTTCAATCAACAGCAGTACTGACTGCTCGGGCAGTGAATGCCGAATATTTCTTTATAAGGTAACGGCTAATATTACCATTAACATTTTGACTTCTATTTTTCTCAAGATTCCCTCGTTGCTCGCACGCTTCTGTAGAAAGACATTTATTTTACCCCTAGTCTTCTAATCTGTGAAGAAAATGTCCGATGCTAACCTGCCATATAAGGAGGATTAATATTACATAGGTGTTGAGCACTTTTCTATGTTTCTGACGGCAGTTTCCTATTTCGTAACACTTAGCTCTTGTAAAGCATTTTTCGCTTTTCCAATGCGACTTTGTATTTAGCAAAAGTATGGACCCCCCCCACCAAAAAAAACAAGCAAAAAATTTAAATAGAAACCGATGGATGTAACATATAATATGTCGTCTAGATAGCCAATGAAAACAAAACAACTGTTACAAAACCATAACATTCACCTGAAAACTCGATCATGTTTTTTAATAGCCTCGCCAGACAATTACTTTCATATGGATATTATGCATAACGCCAAACTCGTTCAGAAATATTTAAACTGCCAACTGGATGCAACCAATTTCTAAAATAAATGGCTTCGAACAAATGAACCCTATAGGTCTTAGCTAGGACCATCCTTCTTCGAACCTCGCGGACTGGCGCTACACAGTCAGAAACAAAGAATTATACCAAATAACAGAAACCACGTCACTGGAGGACTTACAAAAACAGCAACAACTAAAAATGGATACCAAATGTAATTCGAAGATAAAATAATGTCATAATCAAGATGTTAGCTTTCTGCACAACTTCAAACAAAAGGTTAGAAAGGAAACTTCCATCAATACTGGAAAGAGCAAGAACATCCACCGCTTGATAAGCCAATATTTCTGAAAAATTGTTTTAAGAGATTTTATAAAATTTCAACCGACCGTAGTACTGGCTGTTCGGTCAATGAATGCCGAAGGTTTCCGGATAAGTAAACAATACCATTTTTAGCGGCCTTTTTCTGAAGAAATATATTTTTTAATCTTTTCTTACGGATTATTCAACTGCCAAATGTTGGAGAATGTATCGGCCAACGCGATCAGTTAACTTGAAGAATACACACAAAAAAAATCATTTATTCGAACAGAATATGGATATTAATTCTTTACTTTTCGAGTTCTAATATAGTCCTTGTTTTAATTACTGGCAAGCGCGCAATTCTTGGAGAATTAATGCTACTTTGTCTTCCCAAGTTGGTTTTGTTGCAGTTAAATGCCAGTTATTCGGTGCCGTGCTGTCGTCAATTCCCTTAAAGATGACGTAACCTTTGAACTGCACCCAAATTATCTTCCTGTCTGACTGACCTCTGAAAAAAAAATAATGTTTATTTTCAAAATAAAACGTAGAAAGAGCGTCGAGCAGATAATAGAAGCCACATGAGTAGTCGGAGATGTGCCAACATTATCCTCCGACCCGACATTTCATGCCAATATGCACAATTTTACTTCGGCTACCTACAACAACATCCAGGCCGCTCCTCGTTGTCCTCGTTGTCTCTATTTTGCTTTTACATCTTTCACTACTTTGCCTTTTTTTTTTTAATACCTTGCTATATTTGTTTCTCATTTATTATTCTTTCTTTTCTTTTCTTTTCGGTGAATTTATTCTTTTTCTTGTTTTTTTCTTTTCGTTTTCATGTTCATTGTCATCTTATTGTAATCGCCACCACTTATTTTCTTTTTTTTTTTTCTATCTTCTTTCTCTTCCATTTTTTTTTCTTGCTCTCTCCTTCGTCTTCATCCACGATCTCGCCCTCGACCTCTATTCGCTTGTTGCCACTCTTTTCTTTTTTCTTTTCTTCCATAACTCCACCTTCTATTTCTTCTGCCTCTTTCTTTTTCTTGCCCTCCCCTTCTTACATTTGTGTTCGCCCTCGCCCACTTCCCGTTTTTTTTTTGTTACTCTTCGTTTTTTTTTCTCTCTCTCCCATCACTCCATTATCCACTTTTTCTTCCTCTTTCTTGGCATTCAGCTTCTTCTTTTCCATCTCTTTCGCCTCTTCTTCTTCTTCTTCTTCTTCTTCTTCTTCTGGCTTTTCCTTTTTCTTAATGTAATTACTTTAAGAATAAGAAAGTCAAACGGTATGGGCAAACCGAAAAGTAAATTTTAAGTGAGTGTGTGGGTGTATGAGCAAGAGAGAGAGAGAGAGAGAGAGAGAGAGAGAGAGAGAGAGAGAGAGAGATGATGATGATGATGATGATAGTGGTGAGCATCATCATCATCATGGGAAGTACAAGTGTGAGATAAAGAGGAGGATTATCACAGAATGACTGCCAATTTCTTAGTTACTGAGACACTGGGAAATGTGCCAACGAATATGAAAGTAAGACAAGAACATTAATAAAATATAACTTGTGAGTGTAAATAGGTAAGAAAAATATTCTTAAAATGACTTGGTGTCACTTGATCTTCAAAAGTATCTCACCGAGAAATTTGGTGTGATGTAATGTAAATATAGAAAGATGCAAATAACAGCGATTGTTATGAAGATTATCAAGTTAAAATGGTAATTATGAAAGCTAATAATAATAATGATAATAATAATAAATGCCTTGTTGCTACACCTGGATTAGCTTTCTATTCTTAATTATTCGTTTTGACCTGGCGTCTCGGCTTCTGTCACGTTCCCACTGCCGTAATGTAGCTTCCTTGTGCCTCTTCTATAAAAATTTTCATGAGAATTGTATTAATTAGTTTTCCATTGTTGTAACTCGACTTCCTGAATTTAAGCGTTGTACTAGATTGGCAGTTAGGTCTCATCATTTTACTGTTGAAATTTCTAGATTTCATCGTAAGTTCTATTCTGATAGTTTCTTCTCTCTCATTTCTCGCCTGTGGAACTCTTCTCTTGCATTCACGTCACCTAGGATCTTCAAAAAATTAAATTCAACGTCAATCGTCATCTTCTGTCTTCTTAATTCTTGTTCTTTTATTGTTCTCTTTCCTTAATAGCGTTTTTTCCTCTTATATTTTCTAAAAATCAGTAACCCCCTTGCGTCTTTGTGGCTTTATTGTCTTGTTTGGGATGAAATGATAAAAAATAAATAAATAGTCAATGTTCAATGAAAAGAATAGTTGATTGTCAACCGACCCCAAAAGCTGAGTTTGCAGAAAGAAAGGTAATTTTGTGCGTGTAGTTCGATCGTCGCAGTTTCGAAATGTTCTTTTTTTTTTTAGCCCTTTCTCCTTCGTAATGCAGTTTTCTTCACATTGTTATATTTTATCCTCAATAAACCCCGTCCACTTACGTCTCAGTGGCTTTATCTCCTTGCATGGAGGTGAAATTATTTTAAAAGATTGATTGAAGGTGTTAGTATATATCTGTTTTGTCTTGCTGAATTATGGTGGTTGCAGTAAATACCCTGTTCAATGCCACAGATTTGCTCGTCAGCTGCCTGACTCTAACCAGTTGGGCGAGCCCATTAGGGTCTGACACACGGAGCATCTCTGTTTAGAGGGCGAGGTAGCCAAGGCACTTTGGGAGACATGTCTAGATACATAGGAAGGACCATCAGTCGGTGACCGGCTGAGCTGACTGGGTTTACCTGAAATGAAGGTATTTTTAACCCTCACTTGCATCGTTATGTGCTGCTTTTCTACCAGGCCTGTCATTGTATCGCGCACATTTGACTGTGATTTATGTGCCTGGGATGCGCTTATCTGATTGGTTGTCATGATGGGAATAGTGGACATCGTGTATTAGTACCGCTGCGTCACTTTGTGGACGTGCTTTACTCTCACTGAAACACACACACACACACACACACACACACACACACACACACACACACACACACACACACACACACACACATCAACTAATATTCTGGACTCTTCCTAAATTGGTCAATAAAAGAAGTGCGAACAAGTCTTGAGTAGAAAACGTCACAATCACAATCTTATAACTTAGAAATTATACTAAAAAAAAATGAGCAAAAATAAATAGAAGATGACGTATTACCAGTAGTTTTTATAATCATTTCACCCCTAGTAAGGCAACAGAGCCACTAACACGTCGGAAGTGAGGTGGGGGTACTGAGTGTAAGAGAATATAAGAAAAACATTATTAAGGAGCGAAAAAAAAATAAAGGAACAGAAATTAATCTAGTTATACGCTTAAATTCAGAGTCTTAGGTACACTAGAGGAGAGTTCATCAAAACATTTAAAATATACATTACACCTGACAACATAAAGAGAATGTAATTATGAAGCTAGGAACACAATTGACAAACGTAGAAATGTTTCTTGAGAAAACTATATATATATATATATATATATATATATATATATATATATATATATATATGGCATGGCATGAAAAGCAAACATTTTTTTATTATAGGCCATGATAAATTTTAAAACACGAACACAAGTCAACCGGTTTCGTCCCCCCTCGTCAGAACTGTAAACAGGGAAACAAATTATGAGAAAAAAGTCTGTCACGGATGACGTGATGAATGGACAGGGAAAAAATATAATAATAAAAGTTATAATACCAAAGATGCTACAGACACAGTACAGACTTTCTTCACATAATTTAAAACAAAAATAACCATAAAAGCAAAAGCTTCAGCAACAGCGTCAATGCATATCACATCTGGTAAGACAGAATCACTTTTCACGCGTGGTTCTTGAAAACTACAAGATGACGCATCAACCAGCAACACACCAACTTGCGCAACACGTTGCAAATGAGCTGGTTCCATAAACACACATAATTTCCTCCACACACAGATTCGACTGTCTGCCGAAAAGAGAAACAGGGTCTTCCGCAGTCAAACAGCAATGCTCTTTAGACCAAGTGGGAAACCGATGTCGCTGTACCAATAACGGTATTCTTGTTGGTTTTGTATTGACATTAAAGATACTAGCAATAGCAGCTTTAAATAAAACTTGCAGCTCTTAAATATAAAAACACGCGACCCATAAAGTAACTTTCTTTCCACGTGGTCCCTCTTTCGAATGGCTGACATGAACTTTCCACGCTGAAGCTAAAAGAGCTGCGAAACGCTTCACCCATAAAACACACCAACGCAATAAGTTCCCAATATAACATATTCATAAACATTTCTTTGCGTATACAATTTACTTCTAACAAAAGAAACTCTTGTTTTAAACTTTACTTTTATTAGTTTTGCTTTAATAAATATTATCTTTCTACTGTAAATCAATTGATTTATTATTTTGTGCATGTACTCTTTTTCACCAACATTATTTCATGTATAAAATGTTCCCGTAAGAAACCTTACCCATTTAATTATTGAAGTAGCTAATGACTAAAGTCTGTATCGAGATTTGGACGCAAACTTTGAAATTACATATAATTTGAAGCAATGTCATTCCTCTACACACGAACTCGACTGATTGCCGGAAAGTGTTGAAAACTGGACCCACCCGACTAGGCCACACATTACAAGTTTTCCGCGCGCCAAGTGTAACAGTCTCTGTTCCATGTTTTTTATGCCTTATCAACCCGTCTGAAAAGCTATATAAAACCCGGAAAATATTTTTAGATTGTAAGAATATTTTTTTAGAAAAAAATACTTTAGTCTTACTAATTAATCCATATCTGAGTGGAGAAGAGGGAGTTTCATACCTTTCCCAAGTGTATTTGCGCGTAAGTGAATATAATGAACCCAACGGGAATTGAAATTCGGCCCTCCGATTCCGAGTCATTATTCATTTCACCAACCGCACATCCAAGTTTACAGCATCTGGTATTTTCAAGCGATCACCCACCTAGGTACTGATCAAGCTTGACGTTACTTAATTTCGAAGAGTGTACTGGAACTAGTGTTTCAAACGTGATACGACCGTAGACTTGTGCCCCAAGTGCGAAACTGATGTCGTTGTGTCATTAAAGGTATCGTTTTTGGCCTGAGTTGAGAGATGGATTGGGCGACACCGGCTATCAAATATGTTATTATCTGATGCAATATTACTCTTCGTTTGGTGGTTAGCATCCTTATCAGTCGTCAGCGGTCTTGTTCATGCATCACCGGTCGATGTCCGCAGTTTGTACGTATCACTGATGTTTGTCCAGAATTCATATGATCTTTTTATAACCTTGCTACTGTTGCACCTAAAGTAGTTACCATCGATATAGAATGCTTCATCTTTCTGGTCCCAACAAGCATTCCCCAGTCAAATTTTATCCACCTCCCATGTCTGCTACCGCTACACTGCCACAGCTACACTACATATTTATCTATTACGGCACATACATAATATGGCTGAATCAATTTAGTGGATTGGAGTGGACGTAACCATCAAGTGCGGTGATGCTTGAAAGTTTTTGGCAATTCACTTTATATAAAATGACACCAGGTCGTTTTCTTGTAGTAACCCCTCAAAATACTTGTGGTATTATGAAAGAAAGCTAAATGACATTAGGGAATTACTGTATTTGACGGCATATAAGACGCACGGGTGTATAAACGCACCTCGATTTCAGCAGGGCAAATCAAGAAAATATTAGTAATTTGTAAAATTAGTAAATTTGTAAAGCCTAGGCTATATTTATGAGGTATTATTTTGGTTAAACAAGCCATGATTACAATTAAATGAAAAATAATAGAAAAAGAACACGAGCCTTTAAAAACTTTATTATATTCAAAGGTAAGAAAACAAAATAAAAATCAAGCAATTAATTATTACAATTAAGCAAAACAGTACAGTTACGATTAAAATTTTATTCATCTTCAAATCCATAAAATTCGCCGTCTTCGTTATCAAAACTCTGATACTCATTTTCAATACTACTATAATCATCGTTAAATAATGCGTCATCTAATTTCGGTCGACTATCGCGTATTTTAAACCTACCTATGGCATATAAGACGCAGATTTTAAAAGATATTTTTAATAAAAAAAAAAGTGCGCCTTATATGCCGACAAATACAGTTAATTCTTTCTTAGAGTCTTGCGTGTAATTGCCTTTTGTCTTTTAACCTACCGTTAGTATAATGAAGCATTGTCACAACATATAATAAAACATCCTATTCAAAATAATATACAGTTCTTAATTTTTTGTTATATATTTTGTTGGGTGTTTTTTCTGGTTTTTATTGGATGAATTGTCGTTTAAAGTGCCGTGGGTCCAAAACCAGAGACGTCCACGACTCCGTGTCATGTCACAGGTTTTTGTTTTGTCGAACTATTGTCATTATTTCTGTCAGGGCTCGAAGTTCTTTCTTCGAGATGACATACAAGGTGGATTTCTTTTTTTATAAGTTACCTAATAAGGTAGAATCTACAAGGCAATAATAAATAATAACAGATAAATTAAAAAATAAAAAACTCATTTACGTTTTTTTAAGTAAACATTAGCTTCTAAAATCTTTATATAAACACTTTATGCAAGAAAAGCTAAAAAAGTCTCATTTCAGAAAATAAGTACAGGCAGAAATAAAAAAAAAAAAAATAAAAAATAATAATCTAAATTTAAAATAGAACCCCCAAAACATGTTAAAGCAGGATCACGTGATCAATGTCGTAGGGATACCACATATACTACAGCCACAGCAGGAGTGGTGGGTCTTTCTTCAGAAGCCAATATCTTTTAAAATTTACTAATTTTATTATATATTTGGAGCAGCAAAGTGTTATAAAAAAATACTAAATTAAAATACTATGACCGCTCAACTCAATGTTGAAAAGATGGCCACTTTCTGTTAAGAAATCGCCGTCATCATATATATATATAATAATTTGCAATTTGAATAATAGATACGACTTTTATTTGCAGCACTCGATATCAGGGATAGGACCATTAGAAAGCCAAATATATACCGATGCTGGAAGTTGATTGTAAAAACTTTAAAAAAGTAAAAATTCCGATCTTTTGAAGCTTATTGACATTTTTTTTTGACGCGAAAAGACGAAAAGGTCACATTCCAGAAAATAAATACAAGCAGAAATTAAAATAAAAAGAAAACATTAAAAAATAATAATGTACATTTAAAATCAAAAAAACAAAACAAAACAAAAAAACATGTTAAAGCAGAATCACGTGATCACGGTCGTAGGGGTGCAATATATACTACAGCCACAGCAGCAGTGGTGGGTCTTTCTTAGGAGAGGGAACCTGACGGAGCCCATCCCTCTCCAAGCTGGTTTGGATTCAGAATTTTCTTCTCCTTTTTCTTCCAGGCTATAGGACCTAGTCTGTTCAGCTTGGGTAAGAAGATATAGATTCAAACCAACAGTATTAATGAATGTAATGAACCCTCCTGGGAATCGAACTCGGATCTCCGATTCCTCAGTCCGAGCCACTAAGCATTATTACCCCGTGCCTTCTACAACCTGAATAAAAATGCAAAACATTCTTTTTTCAAATCGAGTTAAAAGTCCAATATTAAAAAAAAAAAAATAATTTGAAAGTTTCCAAACTTCGAATATACAAAAATAGTTTACAATTTATTTTCAGTTTGATCTTTAAAAGGCTTAGGGCCATATCACGTTAAAACACTGATTCCCGTATGATCATCGAACTTAATCAATGTCGAGCCTGATCAGTACTTAGGTAGGTGACCGCTTGAGAATACCAGGTGCTGTAAACTTGGATGTGCAGGTGGTGTAATGGATAACACGAATCGGGATTGTTAGTCGGAGAGCCGAGTTCCATTTTCAGTTGGGTTCGTCATATTCACTTACGCGCAAAATAGCCTTGGGAAAGGTATGAATCCACATCTTCTCCCCCCAGCTATGGGTTAATTAGTAAGACATATATCACTAAATCATTATTATTTCGGAAAAAATATTCTTCGAATATAAAATAAGTTTTTAATTACCTGCAAGGGATTGATAAGTAAAAAAAACAAAAAACAAAGAAATAAATAAAAAAATAAAATAAAAATATAAATGAAAAAAAAAGAAGCAAAACCCCACCCAGAAAACCAAAAACGAATCAATCAATCATGATCATCTAAAACTGTTTTTTTTTTTTCAAATTCAAAGCAATGAGCAAGAAGATTACTGCAATTCTTGTATACGTTTCTATGCGATCAGCAAAGAAATTAAATTCTTGGATACGAATTAAAACCAACGACGACACCAACAACATAATTTTTACGTAAGATTTTTTTACTTACATAATATTTCTACTTACATAATTTTTCCACTTACGTAATTTTTTTCATTACTTACGTAATTTTAGATATTTTGTGTTAATTCACCCCAAAGTATTAATTCACCCCCAAATAAAAAGAATTTATTTTTACTAAAATTGACGCCAAATTCACCCTGAATTCACCTTCCCATTGCTCGCCAGTTGGGTTGACTTTTGCGATAGCCTGAAATGTGAGTGACTTGGGCGCGCGATTTCTAACGGTGGGGTCTACGTCCGCGTTCACCCTGACAAACAAGCCCAAAACAGATATTTTTTTAAATTGTAAAAATTCGTTGTAAGTTTCTGAATAACACCGGCACTTACGAAATGTGAATAACCCCCTGATTTTTGGTAAATTTTCTTTCTGAGTGGTGATGCGAGACAAGCCAAAAAAAAATTTGATTTAAAATTTATAATTTCAAAAGAGTGCTAAAAATTTAATAATAAAAAAAAAAAAAATCAAGCTTTGATTTAAAGTTTATAATTTCTTGGAGTGAATTAATATTTGCGATATGTAACTTTACATTATTTGGGATGAATTAACAGAAAAGATCCCGTATTTATTTTTAATTATAATTAAAAGTCAATTTCAAGTTTAGAATTATAAAAAAAAAAATTTACAATATAAAATAAGTTTTCTGGTTTTAAATTACCTGCAAGGAATTGATAAACCAAAACTAAAAAAAAAAACAAAACAAAAAACAAAAAAAAAGAAAACAAAACAGAAAAACCAAACCCCCCACAAAAAAAGCAAAACAAAAACAAAATTAAAAAATAATAATCTAAATTTCAAACCGAAACAAAAAAAAAAAACATGTTAAAGCAGGATCACGTGATCAATGTCGTAGGGATATCACATATACTACAGTCACAACAGCAGTGGTGGGTCTTTCTTTAGAAGCCAATAGCTTTTAAAATTCATTAATTTTTATTAAACATTTGTAGCAGCAGTGTTATAAAAAACGCTAAATTAAAATACTATGGCCGCTCAACTCAATGTTGAAATGATGGCCACTTTCTGTTAAGAAATCGCCGTCATCATATATATATAATAATTTGCAATTTGAATAATAGATACGACTTTTATTTGCAGCACTCGATATTAGGGATAGGACCATTAGAAAGCCAAATATATACCGTTGCTGGAAGTTGATTGTAAAAACTTTAAAAAGATAAAAATTCCGATCTTTATCAGTTTCACTAATGGAATCGATCCTGAACAAATAGTAATTGTTAATGTACAAAAGACAAGCACCGCGAAAATTTGATGGTGCCGACTACAGCCATCAAAATTAATTAATAAGAAAGTGCCTATTATGTTCATCTTCGTTAATTAATTATGAAGTGGTAATTAGTTAATTGATAAGTGCTTATTATGGCCACCACTCTTAATTAATTAGTAAGTGTGTAGAGGACCGTGTGTGTATTTACGTGTTGTTGTATTCGAAACACGCGTGTAACTCCTGGAAGAATATTAAAAGGTCCAATTACAAGAAAATTGCCGGACTCAGGTTAAGTCCAACTGAAGATAAAGAAGACAAAACAAACAAGACCGATATATATATATATATATGTTTTGTTTAATACACACACACGCACACACACACACACACATATATATATATATATATAGAGAGAGAGAGATATTAAACAAAACAATTTGACAATGGACACAGACAATGGCATTAGCGAGTGTGTGTGAACTTTTTGGTCTGTTCTTTGGTGAATGTTCGTATTTTGGTGAATGTTCGTACGTACGTGTATTTGTGTATAATGTTCACGGCGTCTTCCCCAAATGGGAAGACGCAGATTTTCTAAGAGAGCTTACATTGTAGTCGCTGATATGAAGAAATGAAAAAAGAGGATTTACCTCACCTCCACGCGAGGTGGGATGTGGCACGAGACCTGAAGGAAAAAAGAGGACGATGCGAGAAGTCGCCCAGTATTTATAGGATAGAGAGAATGACCCCTAGTGACAATTAGAGAATTAAGGAGGAGCTAACTCCGACCAGCGCTTTATATGCCACTACTCCTAATTAATTAGTAAATCCCCTTACGGTCACCACGATTAATTAATTTTTAGGTATTGACAATGATCGCCAGCATTATTATATATCAGATAATAATACTTTTCATCGTAAATAATATTTTATAAAATTCACAAATTTATCTTATAAGAATACAGGGATCCCTCGAAAGTGCGGATTATTTGTACATTGGTAACTATAAAAAAAACAAAAAAACAATTTTCACTTACTATAGTTAAACTGAAGAATGATTTACCGCACTAATAGAAAACGCATTAATCGAATGCTCATTAATTGAGGAATGACTGTATATACATATATTTATTTTATCTTTAAAAACTATACAATTTGAACATTTTATGCTAGATAACTTTACATTATAAACTTATTTATCAGAAATAAAAATTTTTAATTATAAAATGTATTTTATAAAATTATTGGAAGCCAATATCTTTTAAAATTCACTCAATGTATATGAAAATAAACATAAATTTATATTAATAACAAAATATAAAATGTGTAATTCACGTATAAGAAAAATGCTTTTAAATTATGTCATAGAATTGTCAGAAAATTATATTTTATAAAATTCACAAATTTTATTATTTATCAGAATAAATATAAATTCATATTAAATAATATGAATTTATTTTTTCTCACATATAATTTATACATTTTATATTTTTTATAAATATGACAAAATATAAAATTTATAAATTATATATGCGAAAATAATACTGTTTATTATAAATACAAAAAACGTGTAAATATTTGATGCAAGATGAAAGATCGATTTTTCCTATTAGTATTTAAATTTTTATTTTTAGAACGAAAACAGAGGGAAGTATGAATAACTATATAAAAGTTGAAGTTAATTTAGATGGAAAATGTAAGAGACTTTTTTTTCCAGGAACCAGACCAGATAATAATGCTGTTAAAACATGCTCATTGATACGGAATGGAAAATAAAAAATGGCGGACATTCAGAAACAATATACTAAAAAGAAGGAAGATTTTGATTGGTTCTTTGTCTATACGAAATGACAGCTGCTATTTTGAATATGTCATGACTGCCCCTGTTCGGTCAATTGTGTTAGGGTTCTGATAATTCATTTACACCGAAAGATTTTAATGACAGAAAAGTGCCAAATGGTGGAATATATTGAATGTGAGGCTGGAATTAGAAGGAATCCTCTGGAAAGGGATTGCTGGAAAAGTACGAGGCCGGCGGAAGAGAAAATGGAATAATAGGAATGTTTCAAATGAATTATAGTAGCAGTAGCAACGAAAGACGAAAAAATATTGAGAGAAACCAGAAGAAGAAAGAGAAGAAAATGGAGAAGGAGAAAAAGGTAAAAGAAGAAAACGAAAAAGAAAAAGAAGCAAAAAGTAAGGAAAATTAACAGTAGTTTTTACAGTTATGAAAACTATCAATAGAGACTGAGTGATGATAATGAACAAATAGAAAATAAAGAAAACGAATAAGAATATAAAAAAACTGATGAAGAAGAAGAAGGCGAAGAAGAATACTAAAGAGAAGAAGAAGAAGAAAGTAAGCCAAATGGAGGGTAGTTTTTACAATTATTACAAACTAGGTTAAAAACTGTCCCATCGGACGGCATTTAAGCTACATCTTTCGGATAGCTCTTGATTGGGCCTTTATCACAATAGGTAAGGAGGAGTAGATGCGATGGGCGACAATAAACTATAGAAAAACTCAAAATTATTGCATTAATATTTAAATTTACCTTTTAAAAGTTCAACGATAATTCTTCTGCTGACACTTAATTTAAATACATTTTGATGAGCGTAGGTCCTTACTTTCCGTACAAACAATTATTGTTATTTCATGGGTGACTTTCGCTGGATTTCGCAATTAATTTCGATTATTCCAAAAATTATTTCTCAGTTATTAAAAGTGTTATCGTATAAAAAACGCGTCGCGAAAAAAAAAAAAAAAAATCACGTAAAAAACTCGACAAAAACAGTCGAGTAATGAAAAATTGGAAATCCAAAATTTCAGGATTGCAGGACCGAATCCGGCCCAGAATATTTTTAATTTGCTCTCGGATTCGGCCTTTCGGAGTCGGCCTGATTCCAAAATGGTATGATATTTTGGGCTACGGCCTCTAGGAGTAAAGTTGAAAACTCGACAATTTTATTTTGAAACACTGTAATTTGAGAACAGTAATTTTTTCATTTGAACGTGAGCTATTGAAAGTTAGAGAGTAGTGTCCCTTTAATTGTTTTATCAGTAGAAGACAAGATTGCGGAATCCGAAAACAATCGCAGTAAACAATAGTTAGGAATCTAAATTCTCAGGATTTGGGGTCTGGATCCGGACCAGAATGTTTTTAATTAGTTCACGAAGTCGGCCTGATTCCCAAATGGTACGATATGTTGGTCTACGGCCTCTAGTAGT